GAGGTTTACAGGGTCATTACAGGACAGGAGTTTTTACTAGCTTATCTGTCTGTGTAAAGTTCATTTTTCTTCTCAGAAATAAATTTAAAACTTAAAATAAATGTATATATATATATATATACAGTAAATTTATAAATAAACAAACACATACATACAGTAGGCTACACACTAGTACCTGTTCATCTGATTGGCTGATTGGTCTAGTCTCCGCCCACTCCGTTAAGAAGCTGCAGCTGCAGTAGAGTAGGGGAGGTTATAAAGATTTCTTGAAGTTTGTCGCCAAGGAGTTCAGAACACTGGTTTTTCTCCCATTTAGCCTGTCCTTGTTCATCCTACTAAATTGAGCGCAGGCTACATCACACTGACAATGCTGTCAAATCAAATGCAGTGCATTGCAATGTTTTGCTCTGCAGAGCGTTTTGGATACTCTGTTTATACAGAAAATTCATATGCAGATTGTATATACTGCAGAAATGGAGTAGTGTGCTATTTTGAACAGCCAAGTGTTCAAAATCTGTGTTATACTCACATTAGAACAGTAGGAGGTGTTGTTGGTCAAAGAAAAAGACCTTCACATCTGGACCTGTGGATCATTATAATGTATTGGAAGAAATACAAAAACCATAAACATCCAATTATCCAGTCTTTTGCATGTGCAGTATCATAGTACTAAAAGATTACCATATTCAAAAACCATGGCTACTTCAAAAAATACCATTGTACATCTTTAAAAAACATAGTATGTGTCCAAAAAAATGATATATGTTTGAAAAGCCATGATTTTTTCATAATTTATGCCCCAAAACATGCTATCACCATGTTAGACAAGTTTTTAAAAAACGTGATAATGAGTACTTTTGGTGCTTTTTGCTCATGTGTGCTCATTTGAAGGTACTTTACAAAGGGAGAGCGAAGGGGCACGGGGTGATTTCTGCCTCCCACATGAGAGGGCATCTGAAAAGTGATGCAAATGTACATGAGCTCCCATTTAAAGTTCCTGTCGGATGATGTTGAGCAGGAGCTGTCTTCCCCCGCAGCACCAGGACTACAACACTAATGACCCTGACAGGTTTTTAAATTCTCCTCCGCTGTCTTGCGGCAAGAGCCCGTTATAGATCATTACATGACTGGCTATTGTCTGATCTTCTGCATACATAATTCATTTTTTAACAGTGGAGGTCGGTGTACACCAGGGTTAGAAATGAACTTCAAACACAGGGTCCGTATTTGCCTGCAGAACTGATTTTAAAGAGCCTTTTTTACCTTTAATGAGCACTGTTTTGCTCCTGAACCATTCAAAAAGCACAGCATGCTGTCTATTATATATTGAATTGCAGTTAATTGAAGTAAATTCTGAATCTGAACCAGATTGGCTGTTAATTATGAAATCAAAATAAATTTTTAGGGCCCTACTAAATGTTTTATTTTTTTCTTAAATTATCTCTCTATCTTTTTTTATTTTATTTCTTTCTTTTAATTAATCGAACCATTCAAAAAGCACAGCATGCTGTCTATTATATATTGAATTGCAGTTAATTGAAGTAAATTCTGAATCTGAACCAGATTGGCTGTTAATTATGAAATCAAAATAAATTTTTAGGGCCCTACTAAATGTTTTATTTTTTTCTTAAATTATCTCTCTATCTTTTTTTTATTTTATTTCTTTATTTTAATTAATTTGGATTCTGGTTTTAATATTTCTGGATTCCATTTTAATGGTATGATGAAATTTTAATAACAAAAAGTCATGTCTAATTAATTGAATTCATAAAAACAACTTTTTCACTCATATTTCCACATGTTTGGAAATATATGATGTCTTTTCTTTTTTCAGAAATTCTGTTGTGCATTTTTATGGTAATCAAATGAAGACATAAAACATTAATAAAGACAAACAAAGTGTTGCTTGACAGAGGTTTAATGTTAAAATGAACACATTTGAAAAAGAAAAATTGTGTGATTATTCCTTAAAAAATATACAGAAATATATAGTAAATTTAATTTTTTGACTGGATTCTACGATTTTGTTTTCTGTATCATGGAAATCATATGGCCCTATATATACTTCTTTATTTTTATTTACGTTTTAGTTATAATGTTAAACTAAATAGAAATGAGAAATGTTGCCTTGGAACTAGCTGTATTTTAGTAGTATTTTACTAGTATTTTTACTATTGTACTGTATTTTACTAGTATTTTATTTTATATAAAAAATAAAAACGTATACCTCAAAAATAAAAAAATACTTTTATTTGGGGGGGGGGGGTTTGG